ACCATTGGCATTGTACCCTTCGTTTAAACGAGCGTCAGTATTAACCTTGACATTGTACCCTTCGTTTAAATGAACGTCAGAGTTAACATTGACATAGTACCCTTCGTTTAAACGATCATCAGTATTATCATTGATATTGTACCCTTCATGTAAACGAATGTCAATGATATACATACACGTGCGTACAAATTCCTAAGTTTTATTCTGTTCTACAAATTGACAGAGCGCCTGGTCTTGGTTTGCCACACCCACGTGCGTGTGCTGCTGTGCGAGACAAACAGTTATTTTATCTTCCGAATGCCTTCGGGTGCACGAATTCTTTCAACGTCTTAGCATTACTCATCCGAGATTATCTACACTGCAGGAGGTTTTGCTCACAATGAATGGTTCCCTGAGCGGTATCACCACAGCCGCATTTGTGTCCGTTTACGCAATACTTGTCAGCCAGGTAATTTTTGTTCGTCATATGTACCTAATGCCTATTGAAATATTCGGGATGTGTTGAACGTACTCTTCGCATGTTTTGTGGATAGTGCCAATTTTTAATGAGCTTCATATCCGTGACATGCGGATTGGATTACGTTCACCTCAGCCTATAGTCCGCATTTGATGGAATTTTATTAGAATTGTCGAGCGAACTTCGGTGTGCTATTAATATAGAAATACTATCATATTTTCTTGTGATATAGCACATGAATCAACTGAGCCTCAGACACATCTGTTCCTCCGGTGGATTGTATGCTCTCCTTTACCGGGCATATTCTTCCGGTTTGTATCTGCAGAAGCTTCCCAGTGCGGGAAATTCCAGCTGGCGATTGATGCAACACAACTTCGTCAACACAACAATAGGCTTAATACCCATTCTGCTGCTCAGCGGGCAGTTCACGGGCTTGTTCCATGTACCTCAGGTGTGTTCTACTGTTCATAGGCAAAGATTCACTGTCCTCGTACTTCGTACGAACGTCGCCATGCGCCGATTTGTCCAGACTATTCCTTTGTATTCTTAGTATGGGTCCCAGACACAAGCTCGTTTTCGTCTCCCGGTTGGTATGCGTTTGCACCACAAACAGACTTGGATGTCCTCAGTCAATTTGTCACGAGCGCTCAATGCTCACCTTCTGCTAGAACCACACTTGCAACCCTCCGTCAGTGCTGTACTGTACACGCCCTCTACTCCCACTGTGTATATTTGCCTTGCCACAATGCTGGTTGCAGAGCGTGGAATGTGTGATGCTAGGCTTTGTTACCAATGCCTTATATCCTGGCTGTATATAGTATACATTTAGAGACACTGGTTGCAGAATCACAGCAACCACGATATGAACGAAGATAGGCTTTTGTATACAAACCTTATGTCTCATAGTACCGCTACTCTTCGTATGCCAGAATCATTCGGGCACAACTAATAGTCACTGCTATACTGTACATATACTCTAATCTACTCTCACGGTATATATTTTCCTGGCGACAATACTAGATGTAGACTTTGGAATGTGTGGTGCCAAAATTCTTATATCTTAGCTGTATATAATAGACAATCGCAATACTGGATGCGGATACACAGCCCATCATGAAGGCTTATATTGTACAATCATTATAATCTAGCTGTATATATCGCCCTGGCGACGATAGTGGTTGCATCTAAAGTAAGAGAGATTAGGTTATGGTTGACGTGAGATGACTTATTCTAGCTATATATAGGCCCGGTGGTAATTCCGGTGTATGTTTACCATACAAACGTATACAACCGAGAATTCCTATCTCTTGACACCACATTGCAACGTTCACCGTACTTTAGAACTTATGATCTCGCAAGAACGTACCACACGGTACGTCTATGAATTGCTATCTCGTAAGGTTAAGTATTATCTATCAGAATAATATATGAAAGTTTTCAACTTTGAACAGATATCACTCATTTGATTTTATTAGGGAGATGACTGGGCAAGACTGTTGGCCTAGTGTCGCTTGTTCCGACTTGCGACAGAAAGACTCTTGCTATAATATACAATACTGATTTGTATCTGCAAGACTTGTTTCCTTAAAGAAGAACTTGCCGCAATTCTTTGCTCGAATAATTTGAATTCTTCTAATTCTGCCGTGATATCGTACGCGTTGTTACACAGGCCTTCACACTGAGCTTCTGGATTCGTCTTTGTCTCAACGGCTTCTTGGGCGGTGTGGTATCAATCTGCATGGCCGATCTGCTGCAAGTAACCTCTCCCCTCACTTTCGCAGTGAGTAACATGGCAAAGTTCGGTACTCAAGTGCTGCTTATGCACGTACTTTTGGGTCAAGAGATGATCTTCCTCGACTGGGTGTCGATCTTGTTTATAGTCGGTGGCGTTATACTTTACATGCTGGATCGTGGTGTGGATACAGCCACCACAAGCACGCCTCATACGCATGAGAGTGAAGTGGGTGCTCCGCTACTGAACCGGCCGTAATAGTTGACTACAAGTCAATCTGAAAAACGTAAAAATTTCTAACCAGCAAGCACGTCTGGCTTAGGGATAAATGGTATCGAGTAGTGCAATATGCAAACCACTTTCAAGCGATCGCTACCAATAGTAGCGATCAATACAAACCACTTTCAAGTGATCACTATCAATATTAGTGATCAACACAAACCATACTCAGTCTCGATCAACGCAGATCTCGTCACGTACGTGGCCTCATTCTCAGAGGTGTAACTATACAAATAATTCACTTCAATTGCATTCGGGTATTTCTTTGTTCATGCACGTTAAGCACGGCAGGAACGCCGAGCAAACGTGGTTCGAATCTGCTACAGGCTGAGCTCGAGACAACGAGAAATACGTCGCAGTGGGAATCGAGTCTAGGTGGATACGATCCACAGGTGCAACTTTAGTATCCCGGTGCACTCGCTTCGCACTGCTATGCACACCAGGGCCTCCGTCCACAGACCGTTTCAAAACAGTAGGTGACTTCATTCGTTGTTGCTGTGCGTCCGCAAACAGCGTGGCGCGTGAGTAGTAGTTTTGTCCGGGACTAAACGACCGATTGTCTCTGGTCTCGGACGGGCGGCACTCAAAAGTTAGAGACATTGATAATAACTCTGATAGAGTGTGTAGCTTAAGCTATCTTAACAACGTGATAGTATATATTGTGAAGCGTAAACTTTCCATTCGACTACATTTATCAATTATATTCGAACTATAGAATGCTGTAATCTGTATTCCGGTTCTGCGAGTTTCTGCTTTGCGAGTTTCTGTGCACAGTTGCATGGAATTATTTATAATTTGTATTGCATTTGCTGATAGTAGTATGGGACAAGACCGCACGACGTACGTATGAATTGGAATTGAGCAAAAAACTCTTGAGAGGCAAAAAGAGCACAGTTGGCCACCATTACAGATTCCAGACTCCCTGCCTTCAACCTATGGGATACAGGCATACAGCCAGGGCTATAACAAAGATTTGAAACGTAAATAGTAGTATAGTACAAAATACCCTTCCCCATTGATGGAATAGTATTCTAGTAATTAGCACCCCTGTCCCTTAGTCCCATACATCGGTGGACGATGATCATTCGGCTATTTTAGTTTTTGCACTGTCATAAGTGTCATCAGTTTCACTTTCATCACTTATTTTTTATAGAATAAGATATTGTTAATTATAAAAAAGGTAAAATAAACTACCATTCAAGCAATTTCAAAAGAAAAATCTAGTGGAGCCTGGTATTTGTGAAGTAAATACCCAACAGTTGGCCAATTAGATTCCACTACAAATTGAAAATGGTCCATATCGCGTCATGGCTGAAAGCGAGCACAGTTTGTAGATTTATAAATAAACGAGCTACTACTAGTAGAGAGAAGAGACTAGAGTGAGGCCCAAGTCTCAAGGCCCAAGTCCCAAGGCCCAAGTCCCAAGGCCCAAGTCCCAAGGCTTAAGCCCTAAATTTAGGGGCCTTCCTGGAATATTTACTCCCCAATAACTCCCTGTCACGGTGTCACAGACCTCACAAAACCACAACTGTCCCGATTTTTTAATGAGTATTAGTATGTACTATGTCTTATACCGAGGTCCGAGACTCCGAGACTCCGAGTACCGACTCCAAAACCAGTGAGCTTTTTCTGACAGGTGACAGTTGACACTGACAGGTGACAGCCCTGAACAGTTTTATCTTTTTTCCGCCGCAAATGCAAGGCTTTCTTCAAAGTTGAAAAGATGTGTGAAAACTGAAAACTGAAAGGATAGGCTGTGTGTATTTACTGTACTGAGGGTTTTCAATAAAATCATAAACCATTGCTTTATTTCATAGCCTTCTGAAAATAGAACAGTATATTTTTAAAAAAAACAAAAAAACAAAGCCTTCCGTCCTTGTGTCCGTCAGCCTTTTTTTCCCTTCCCTCTCTAGAGATTAGAGGTTTTGCTTTGGATGAATGCGCCAAATTACAAGCACTAAATTTGGATACCAATTCTAAACGCCTGTTTAACCAATGGAGGTACAAAATACATAGCAACAGCGAATCCTCCTACAGTAAAATTGAAACTGTTTTCCGTATTGTTCAATGAAACAAGGTATTTAACGGTAAATATTACCCCTGGCCAATGCAGTCCTTTCCGGCCTTCCTCTGTGGACCTGTTTTAGAAAGAAGGGTTTGGAGTTTGGACTGAGGAGTCAGGAGGCTGGGGCCCGGGGGCGGGGATTCGGGGAGTGAGACTGCGCTGCACGGGCTGCAGGCTGCAGCCCTGCACCCCCCCCTCTTGGGTCTTGGGGAGCTTGGGTCAGAACTGTCAGATGTGTGTGTAATATTTTTCTGCACATACATACATCTTCCAAATATTTTATATACAAACTTTGAGTCGGGATAGTAAAGCCGATATTTCTTCGTCTGTCAACACACAACGCAATTATGGTTGTACCTGCTAAAACAAACGTATTCTTCGATACATTCAGCAACGATCAAGGTGCCAAGCAAATTACACAATGGTGGAAAGAAGACCATCGCCCTGGACAGGATGGAGTTGAACTCGGAATGAGACTGCTGAATGATTGCCCTCGAAAATTTGGCGATAATGTTTGGGACATATACGAATATGTTTTCCTGTGCGCGATGGATTGCGCCGACAAAGACACAGCTGATAAATGCTTCAACGCGATAAAGGTAGGATCATGAATACAACTGCTCCAGTTTGTAGGTACATCATCTCGCGAGCACTCTCAAGCATTGTATTGAAACACTTGCAAAATAAATGTCTGCGCAACCACACAAATACTCTGTATAATATTGGTTGTGCCTATACAAAAGAACACACACACACACACACTCACTCACTCACTCTCTCTCTCTCTCTCACACACACACACACAATATATATATATATATATATATATATATCTATCACTCTATCTAACTAACCAACTACCTATCTGTCTGTCGGTCTGTCTGTCTTTCT